TACTATTACCTATGAAAAATGTGAAATCACTATAATTTTAGCTTTTTAATAGTAATAGGAATCTATAATAACAAATTCAATATGCCAGCATTATTTAATTATATGTATAGCCTATACATCCTTAAATGATGTAGCATTTGCGTCATTGTGATCATAAAATTATGCATCAAACAATTACGTGCATCAAATATGTGCATCAGACAATTGATATGTCTGTGAATAGTGATTATTTATTGTTGCCGTATATTTTCACAAGTTATTTATTTGAATTCGATAGATGTGTCAACGAGGATAGTTCAGATGTACATACTAAGTGGGATGGCCCGCATATAAAAAGCTAGAAAATATTTAAATCAGTCTTGGTTGACCAAATTCAAGTTTCAATTAATCAATATCCTTCGAAAATTTGTCGATTTACATTATTATCACATACTTATTACTAATACGTTAAGAAGACTCATTGTTCCTTTGTATTTGCTTCCGCCGACTTAACATGCGATAGCCGATGATCAGATCAGTCTCCATATTAATTTCTGTTACCTATCGAGCCACGGTTAACGCATATTAAACGGCTTCGTTATTATGTGTACACGTATAATCAGTGGGAGAAGCGCGGCGACGATTTCGTACGGAAACGTTAGAACCGACTGATGAGATCTGGTGATTTCGCAAAATATTATGTGAATCCCCCGGCGCGCTCCTCCCGCCGGCCTATGTTAGGACAACTCGTTAATCGATCATAGTTTTAATACCTAGACGCGCACATCAATCACCACATCAAACATAGTATTCCTTGATATCTAGCGCGTCAGAATCGCAGCCCTATACGCAGCTCTCTTGAGTCGATATTAGCGGTGTGCGCACGGTGACGACCTCCCTCGTCGGGTGTTTGCCGCTCATCGTCGAGATGTTGATGTCCTGGAAGGGACTCCTCGCCGAGAGCGATGCCAGCGTGTATGGCGACGTCGACGATGACGTCGTGTCGACCTTCGCCGGCCTCGCGTTGTGGTCTATGCAAGCGTAGATCGTGGCTTCCTTTGCGCACGGCTTCCCGCCAACGATCACCCCGCTACCGTAACCCTGAAGCGTACTTATGCTACCAATTCCACTTATACTCGTCAGCTTCGTGTCGGTCGCCAACGTCGACAGCGTCGTCGGACGCGGCAGACACAGCTCGGCGTACGTTATCTCGCCCGATAACTGCGAATCATATAAAAAGACATTTTTAAACTTACGGGAACTCTAATTTTCAATCTGTAACGCGATGTTTGAAATTTACCGGCAACGTTGGGTAATTATTGTATTCGTTCGAATACGACGATAAACCCTGCAGGTGATTCACTTGTTGAATAGAAAGCGAATTCGGCGGAAGTCCGTCCGGTGTGCCTTGCGCAGCCAAAGGCGTACCGGATATCGATCCCGTTAATTGGTAATCCGAACCTTGGAATTCGAACAGTTTCTAAACAACCCTCAGTTCTCTCGAGGTTAACGCGATGATCGAAAATGTCGTACCTTTGTTTATTGGTACTACGTCCGGATTCCTGTCGTCGGTGTCGTACAAATCTTCGGAGCTCGGCGCGGTGTTCTTTTTCAACGGCAAGTCGCTCGGCCTCTGCGTTCTCCTCTCGTTTCTGATCTTCATAGCTGCTAAAATAGCAATAGTGATTAAGAGCAACGCTGTTACCACTCCGATCAATCCGCCCAATAGTGGAGTGATCTCGAATGGTACCGGTGTACCTGTAAAATAAAATTAATGCTCATTATAAGTCACGCACGCAGTTGGAAGCCAGTCGTGACATCAAAGCACGTTGCGTCAATAAATAGGACCAAGGTAGTAGTGAAGATACAGGAAATACGTAACATTATTTACCAGTCTGCTTCTCCGCGATTTTTAACGTGAATCCCTCGAGCAGGGTGGGCTCGCTCCTTCCCTTCGCGTTCACCGCGTACACGACCATGTTCAGAATTTTACCCGGCTCTAAACCGTGAACCGTGAATGCGGCGTTCTCCCTGGAAGTGATGTTCGCTTGAAGTATTCCCGTTTGCTGGTCGAAAACCTCGAGCAGGAAGTGTTGTGGCTGGCCGCCGTCGAAACCGACGGAACACTCCACCGACAAGGAGTCGGTTGTCTGATTGGACAAAGTGCAATTGTACACGGACTCAGGCTTCCCTGTAAGGTCAACAAATTGTATTCCGAATTTTATGTACCATGAAACGAATTATGGGAATGCTTGTTATTTCGAAATTCACGTACCCGCGGGGATGATGTGAAACACGCACGCGTTCTTTTGTTGGCCGGCGGTGTTGCTCGCCCAGCAGAACACCGTGCCGTATTCCATTTCGGTCATCGGCCGATAGATAAGAACGCTTTGGCTGTGATGCGTGGAGTTCTTGTATCGTGCCTGAGGCACGTCTACCATTTCCTCTGTATTGTTGAAGGTCCAACGGAAACTGACGGGCGGCGGGTACGCTTCCACTTTGCAAAGCACTCGAGCGTCTTCGTGACGCGCCACACCGTAAATTCGTTTCTGGTCCGACACGCAAATCGGTTTGTCTACGAAAAATCAAACTAACATTGAATTTATAACACAAGAAATAGATCAATGGTTAGTATCATGCCTGACACGTAACGCTTTACGAAACACGTACCTGTATTTTTCATTGATTAGACAAAATATAAAAATGATAGTGAATAGAACTCACACATTATGTTCAATTCGACGTTATTGCTGTAGCCGTCTCCCTCGACGTTGCTAGCAATACAAGTATAATTTCCTGCTTGAGAACGATTCACTTCCCTCAGAGCCAATCCGTATTGTTGTACTATTACACCGTTCTTCGCATTGTTTTGTATTACGTTACCCTATAATAGTATTAAGACGTAAATTTATTGTATTCGAGGATTGTCGAGCAATAAAAAGCAGAATAGGATATTATAAACGAAACGTAATAGAATCGTAACAATTATAACAGAATAAAGATAGAAGTATTTCTTTCATTTATTTGTAATGAAAACTGATAATTAATGTCGAGTTTCTCGTACGTCTGATTAGTCACACGATTATACTACTGCGAATGTCACTGATTTCGTATGGAACAGTATTCAGCATTTCTGCCTGATGCGTGCCTCCAGCTATCTACGCAAGCGCCTGGTGTCTGATTAGTAGTTGACTTAATCTACTTATATGGGCGTCTTCGCCACGGTAGTAGTGGGAAAACGTCGTACCACTGTCAGTGATAGTAAAGAGAGATTACTAAATCGTGAGAGCCTTTTGAGACTTTCTGTCGCTCGAAAAAGTTTGCAATTTTTGATCATATATTTATATATTACCACCGAAGTAGGAAATAGAAAGCCAAACTAAACAGTTGCTGTTTTTTTTTTTAAATTTTTAAACCGCATATTCAAATCGAGATTTACGACATAGAACTTTATCTGCAATTTTCAATTAGAATATTTCATTAGTACTCACATTATGCTTCCACACAACCTTGTAAGCGCCGGGATTCGCACGGACTTTACATTCGAAATAGACGTCATCGCCCTCCTCGATGTCGTCTGGATTCATATTCGATCCTAATTCCAGGTGCAAGATAGGAACAACTGGAAAACAAAAAAAATTAAGAAACCTTGCATTCGTCAAAGCTAATTTAAAATATAAAAATACTTACAAAATACGTTTAGCTTCCATGTATCTTCTATCACGCCCCCTTGAACTTTAAAGTTCTCCGCTCGACAAGTGATCACTTTATCGTGATCGAGCAAGCTCGGTTTGAGCGTTAGTATGGAACTCGTCATGTTACCATCTTGCGATATCTTTAACACAAAATTAAAATAATAATAAACGTCCGCAAGATTATAACACATAATGGTTGTACCTTTTCCGTGTAGTTAGTCAACTTTCTTCCATCCATGTACCAAGACAGATTAGCTGGTGGTCTCGAACCAACGGTCATACAGTTTATCTCGTACTTCCGATCCGCGCTGAGCGGCGCGTGCTCGCTGCTCAGTATAGTCACGCTCAATGGTTTCACTGAAAACCAAATCCAATTATATCGATCACAGTACGATAATAAAAACTCAGAGCCGTCGATGAAGATTTTATTTTATGATACAGAACACTTACAGTGCATTTCAATCGCCACTGAAGCAGAGACTGGTTGACTGATGTTATTATTCGACGCTTGACAAGTGAACACCGCGTGGAGATCAGCTCTTGAAAGTTCCCGCACTATCAAAGTATTTCTACGGAGCGCAGGAAACTCTCCCGGTTCGTCTTTCGAATCGAGGAGCATCTCCCCGCGCCACCATCTCACTCTCGGCTCCGGTTGGCCTGAGAGAAATTAGAGAAACGTAAATTGATTATAGAAATATGAATAATTAATAAGGACTTACCTCCAGAAACGAGGCATTGCAATTTCAAATCACCACCTTCTTCGTATGGTCCAGCCACTGATGACACGGTCGTCCCGTGCTCATCAATGATATTTGGTTTATGAGGAGGTACTGCAATATAAAAATATACCATAGATCATTATTATCAAACGTCATTTGTTATTCAAAATTTAGGATGATACAAACCAATGACTGTCAGGTAAACTCTTGAATTTCTGGTCGGACTCTTTGCAAAATCTACTCGGCACCTGTATTCACCCTCGTCCCTCTCTTCGATATGATTGATATTTAACGTAGCCGGCTCTGTGACCGTTCTGAAGAACGCTCGATTGTCCAAATGATCTTTATCGTTCCAGTGCGAATCCTTCTCCGTGTGCTTGCCCCTCATATCGTAACTAAAACGAATCGCGTTATTCACGAATTTTCAAATTTCTTTAAGCTCGATCGCTCACCTGTATATAGGCGTGATATCGCTTTTGTACCATACGACCAGAATCGCAGAATCGTTTTGGCGCGGTGGACGGATGTCGCATGGCAGTTCCGCTGTACCCTGAAGGACCGCCCTCGCTGCCGTGGTCGGTCCTGGAACAAAATTCACAAGTCGATATCAAGTTTCTGAGGTATCGCTGGGAAGAATAATAAAAGGCAACACGGTTCAACGGATTTAGCTATGTTCCATCCGGGCTAAACACGGAGTCGTAAGGTTTCCCACCCGCTGTCTGGACGTCGGATTATCGGCTTAACGCGCCGTCCTGTTTCGCTCGATTCGAAAGTGATCGACTAATTGTAAATGTAAATACAATGAATGAAAGTACAACGGTTCATACAATTTTTTTAACTATAATTTTGACACTCGGTACAGCATCGATACAACTTTTCTTGATCGAGGAAAAAGGTATTCGTGTTTAAATTTTGTGAAATCGATATCAGGTTTCTGGGGGTGATACGGAGTTCCGTGAGATGTCGGGTTCGTGTCGCGCCTCACCTGTGGCCCGATCAATCCATCGATTCCCTCTTCCTTATCAACCGCTTTAACCCTTTAAACCCGTCCCACTGTAGTTGCACGGTAACGTATGTCTTAAATTACAGCCGCGATACGGGAAGGGATGAAAAAAGATAGTTCTGTTTTCGGCGGATGACAAATTGGACGTTTAAAATGGACGTCATAAAGCTCCTCCGGGTTTGGACGACTAATTTATGATGAAGAAAGAGAGGGTTGATATATTCGACTCGAAAATTTATGGGAAGCTATATAACATTTATTAGGGTCCTTCCGTAGTCGCGTTAATTAGACCATAGCTCGTTATTCTTCGTATTAGCTATACATAGCGCGTTAGAGTTAAAAAATGTCGCGTCTCGCGTTAGGAGAAGAAATCACCCGCTCCTCGGATAGCGTGAACGATGGTGTTTAATAAATCTCCAGAGAAATCCTTTGAATACGTAATGCTGCGTTAAGTTTTCATTACTTTGATAAATCTGTTCGGTATCAAATAGTTTTAATCAATTAATGCGTCGGAGTTCGCTGCTTTTCGATGATTCCACAATAGATTTGCATTCGAATACGCGAGTGTATTTATAAAAATAACGGCATCGCGAAAAAATCAGAAGAGAATAAAGACAGGATTAAAGTGTTGCGAGGGTCCATGCATGCCAGGTGTTCAGAACGATTAAATCCAGATAAACGATCGAGCTGTCGTTCAAAACGACAGGAAGATTTATCAGCTCCTCGAGATCCATTTCGTATAAAGAGGAGTCTATCAAGTTTATTCTTGCTCTTATCCTTCATTAACTACCATACATTTTGGCTAATAACAGTGTAAATGTTTAACAATTCTCGACGACGCACGCGAGTACCTATAATAACCGACGTATGTGCAATTAAATTGCTGTACTAATTAATTGAAATTTATAATAATTCGACACGAAGACCGATCCGTCACTAGTTATGAAAGTGTGAATCCAGTCAAGTCATTAATTTTTTTACGTTATTAAACGTATAAACGGATTTATACGCCTACGTAACTAACGCGTCGGGTGTGATACGAATTGCCACGAGTTAATTGAACGAATTTAACGAACGGATGAAATTAAATAGATTATTAAGAATCGTGTTTTGTTGATCGACGTGGCCGATATAAACGAGCATCAGAATTTTCTACCGAAGTTTTCACACTCACTGGCGACGAGTAAATTATTTGTAGATTCGTAGCGGACATAAAAAGAGTAAACAGCGAGGTACGTGTCGTCGGTGATAAATCATAGCTGGGACGTGTCGTTCGAGCTTACCTATGCCTAATGGAACGAATGTCTACGCGTATGGAACAATACAGGCTCCGAAATCTCCTAGCCACCTACTCTAATCAATCTAATGTCGTCTCGGATATATCAAGCTCGTTCTAATTTATCGCCTACACATTTGTGAGGGTGTTTACCGATTATGACGGATATTCTCGTTGACGTCAGTAGCGATATCATCGGCGGCGAGCTCCCGGGCATCCTGTTACGAAGGTTTATTAAGCTGGAAACACCGGTTGATGGGATTATCCGTATCGCGTGAGATTGAATAAAGCAACGTGACTGTGAGAAGCGAGTACCTCCAGGCCGGTTATTATACTTCCTCCTTTTACTGTTCCTTTTCATCGATGCTCACATTTTTTCCCCTCATCAAAGCGTCGCGGCGTTATAATCAGAACGAATTTCACTTTTCGATTGTCCTCGTGTTTATTCTTCGATAAAAGATCGAAAACATTTTTTTTTTATGATTAATATTTAAATTTCGACGTGGAACGTCGTTATTCATTGCTTAAAGCGTAACGCGGTTGATTTAGCATATTCCTCGATTCTTTTCTATGCATATGTAGAGCTGTTCACAATGCGCCATTAGGGAAGGGGCGCAACACTCAAACCTACAGGGAAGGACGGGAATTGCCGTTGTTTTGTCTTAAACAATAGGTACCTGAAATTACGGCCACTTGCAACTATAGTCTTGGGTATAAATGCAATTAACTTACAGGAACTGGAGTCTTTGTCATTTGCGCGCAATTAGCACCACGCGAAATTCGAGGTCCGGCAACGCCTGGTATTCCCTGAGAGTTGTTCTAAAGTTCCATTTCTTCTTGCCTCCCCCATTCAGAGATTTATGTATTTTAAAGTCGCATCGCGACCAGGTGTTATCGTCGATTCCCGGTCGCGTCACTCTTCAAAACGAGTTCCTTCCCTTTTATTTCGTTAATACGAATCTCCTCGTTCTACTCCGGACAGTCCTTTTAAAAGAAAAACCCTTATCCTCTTGATTGTGTAAGGTCCACTTAAGATTTCTAGCGGAGCGCAGTTCTCTTCTCGCCATCGAATTCTTTTTTTCTTCCTTCAAGCAAGAAAAATATATATCGGGCACTCGGTTCTTCTCCACTTTCGCCTGCGCGCTGTACGAAACGGTTTGCTTCTTTAATGAAAAGAGAGAGGGAATAATACCTAGAGCGAGGACAAGGGGAACACAGAAATTGTCTGACTGGAGGTTAAATCGGCTCCATAAAACCGAGTCCTCTGTTCCGTCATTTCTTTTTACCTATTTTCATTGTTTCGTTCATCTAAGGGCGGACCCTGCCCCGCACCTTCCCGTTCGACAAGCTGCCACCCATTTCTCTTTTGTCGATGTCCGTTTCCTTATCTTTCGTCCAGCGTGTGTCGGTTCAGTGACAACTACGGGAACAAGAGTGGTGCCATCGGGGACTTCAATTCTATCCTAACGTAATTCAGCCTCCGGGGCTTTTCGAGGACAATGGCTAATAATTGTCGACTACTTGTACAAGGGAATACGGTATGGTGGTGCGAGGGCGCGCGCGCGCGCGATCGCGGATGTACCGTCTGCCGGACGAATACTGGCAAAGGTTCGGATAAACGTATCCACGAGCACGGAGGAAACGAAGTTTGCGAAACGGTGATGAGTCTTTTGGGTATTACTCTTGTTCCGGCGTAACCGTGCCATTGAACAGGGAGAAAGAATAACTAATTCACAAACACGACGGAACTACGGTTTCCCTTCGTTATCCCGTCCCGTAAGAAAAATAATGGGAATCGAAACATTTTCAATTGTAAAAAACGTGATTTCAATCCACGCGAGTTTTTCTGTTCGAATAAAATTTGACCAACTCCGGTGGCTGGCAGCGTTTTGTTAAATTTTTTTTTCCCCGCCCGAGACGTTACAGAAATATCAATTTGGATAAAAAAATTTGCGTGGCAGCTGTTGAACACGAGTGTAACTGTTTGATGTGCAATTCGAAACCCTGTTGAAGAACTACGGTTTTTATCGGGTATTACTTTTTTTCCGCGTACCTTTCATATCCAGTTAACAATCGAGCTAACTGTATGGACCTTACGATCGACGATAAACCTTTGTTTTCCGCAATTTTTCTACACTGTTTTACATCGGCCACTGCTCTATCAGATCCGTTGCTATCTTTCACGTCGTTCCTAGGTACGATGTATTTGAATTATATCGCTTTATAACGCAAGGAAGAGGAAAAAACGAATCGGCTAAACTAAATCTGGCGACTGGAATCGTTCAATTTTTTCCTGTCGATAATAGGCCGCTCTCGGTCTTTGACCTTAATTCGAGGCACATAAGGCGCGGGTGCACTCGATTTACGAATAGAGTCAACCGGACCGTGACAATATGTATCGGACATCGGCTAACCGGCGGGTTAATATGGAAAGGGGTTAGCCGTACCGTTGACTTCTGTCAGAATTTAACCTCGTCTTATAACGAATTCGTATTTTTATAAACCGCGGTAAAAAGATCGCAATCGCAAAGAGACGAGAATATAAAATCAGCGGAGGACAATTTATTTGTACCGTTGACAAGAGTTCTAATTACGATAGACGAGGAGGGGTAGCGAAGCGCGAGTTGGAGGGTCTATTTGTCTTTGAAGATGGATTAGGCAGTCTTGAAGAGCTTCTGAGAAAATACGACAACGTCGATGGTAACATCAAGACTGCCCTCGCCGGCGTAATATACACTGAAGTCGTAAATATTTATCAAGATTGGCCCCGAGGTAGCACGATATATTCCTCTCAGCGTATTCGCAACTCCGTAAGTCCGTTCCCCGTTACGAAGCCCGAAGCTCTGTAGACTATGTAGAAACATAAGCCACCGTTGTCTTTCTCCGCGTCTTTTCCATTCTGTTTTTCCTCGTACTTTGACTCTCTGTCCCCTTTGCAGAACTCGACTACCGCCGGGGCATACACCCGCCCCTAACCATCGCGCGTCTTACCTCCATTTTTATATTTTTCCTGCTCTTTTGCTCGTTGATTTACCGCCCTCAGGTATCATTTTTTCTCGTTCCAACTCGGGAGCCGACCGTTATTACGTTTTCATACAGTTTTACCAAAACAGTCCGACTCTATGAGAGTTGAAACAATGCATTCCTACATGTACCGCTGCTTCTTATCCACCGGCAACGCCCGAAACGTTTCACCCGGAACATTTACTTTCTATTCGTGCATGTTTAACGTCTTTATTCACGACGATCCGTCCCTTCCCCAGTTTTCGTCGGAGAAATTCGCCGGTAATTAAAGTCTCGTAT